GTTGTGCAGAAGAAACATGTCAATAACGTTCTTCAAGATCACTCCACATCTCTAGCAATTTTACAGAAAAACACAAATTTCTTTGTAACTAAACCTAACACCCCTAAAATCCATCCAATCACAAGATCATTGCACCTTACTGATAAGCCGTGTTTTGTGCATAATTGTTAGCCTCTTTTTAGTTGTTCTTATTAGTCTAGCTTAGTATTTTAGTTCATTTTGGTTTGATTTGGTTTAGTTTCAATGATTCGATGCTTTTATGGGTAGTTTCGTTGTTTTTGATGTATTTCAGGATTAACGAAGCTAATTTAGAGATTTTATGAAGTCATGAGACTAAACCGAGGCCCACGGACCTTCACGAATCTCGTTGGCCGAAGAACGAGTCACTTAGGCCTTTTTGGAGTCAAGCACGCCTATGCCCAGTTTAGGCACGTCCGTGCCTGAGCCTCAGAAACTGAGGGAAATTCTCTGGAAGTGAGACACGTCCGTGTCTCTGCTGCCGCCTTCGAATCTGCATATGAGGCACGTCCGTGCCCAATATAGGCACATCCGTGCCTGGAGTCCAGAAGATGAGAAGAACCTTACTCGAACTGAGGCACGTCCGTGCCTCTTGTAGGCACATCCGTGCCTCTTAGGAGGGTTATGCATGCGCTGAATTTTCTTACGTTTTCTTATCTTTTTGTTGGGAGTATAAATACCCCAGACTTTATTATATTTCACGATCTAGCATTCCTTATTAGACCTAGTTTTCTCTAAAACTTTTACGTTGCCTTTGTAATTCAAGATTCAAGTTCTACTTTTGCAATCTCCATTTATTTCAAGATTTGGTATTTTCCTTTCATCCCTTATTTCTTAATTATGTTTTCTTTGATTATTTTTTCTATTGCTTATTTCAATATGTGTGAGTAGTTTTTTATATTCCAAGATCTAGGGTAGCCCAATTGTGATTGATGCATGAATTGATTCTTTAAATTCTCTAATGACAATTGCGATTATTTATGCTAAATTGATTGTGATTATGCCAATACTAGATTAGGGATAATTAGTATTGTCATTATTCCATAGTTTTAATCACAACGAGAGTTGGGTTTTAACGGATTTGAGTAGATCAATTTAGGGTTTGAGATTCATCACAAGAGTAGTTGAATTGATAATTGGGAAGCGAAGTAAAGTGTTTAATGTCTTTAATTTGCATGATTCCATGAGAATAGGCTTGATTGTGGTTAGAGAAGCCATTGATACTCGAGAGAGGTCCTTGGTATTAATTAGGGTTTGCTTTTCCCCATGTTAATTGGATTTGTATGCTAGGGGTAGATAGATAATTGCATCGATCGTAATTGTGGTGATACTTGATCTTGGATGTTTTAGTTCATTGATTTATCACATTCTTTAGATTTATTGAGTTCTTTATATATTAGTTCTTAGAATATTTCACCATTGATTGTTACTTGCTTAGTGATTATTTGAGTCTATTTTATTAGGTGAACCTTAGTCTCTTGGGATTCGATCCTTACTTGCCCGTCTACATAGTAGTGGTCTCGTTAGGTTATTTTTGTTAGGTACGCGACACGCCTATCACTTACCCAAGCTTTGTAGGTAACATCAATAGATAAGGGTTTAGGTAGACTTCCATCCACAAAACTCATCTTATTTTTGGTAGATAAACCTATTATCATTGATCTCTTCCAAGAACTGTAGTTCTCACCATCAAACACCTCATTGATGAACTTATAATTGTTGTTATCAGAAGAATGTATGTAATATACTATACTAGGGTCTTGTGTAAGCTCAAGAACTCTAGTTGTATCTTGACCAGCCGCCATTGTTAACTCAAACAAACAACAATTCACAAAATCGATTATCCTTAAAGAATCTCAACTAGTTCCTCTACAATAACCAGAACAATAACAATCAACAACTAAATGCAACACTCTAAACAATCAAACACCACTACGATTGAATCAATAACAACAATCAACTAGGAATCAACGATATCAACTAAAAAATCGCGAAGAAATCACAATCGCAACCACGAACAATTAATAGATTATCTAATTAAAAAATATAAACGAAGAATTGACAAGTTCCTTAACTAAAACCACCGGAATCAAGCAATTTCCTTAAGAAAAACACAATCAACCACCAGAACAAACAATCAAACCAAAGTGCAGAAAAATTACAAGAAATCAAACCATCAAACCCTCAATTTCCCGCTCTGATACCATGTCAAAGTGTGCAGCGAAGAAAAATCAAAGGAACACAAGCAAAGCAGAATTAAGCAAACAGGAAGAACAAGACACCAATATTTTCTGCCATCATTACTACATCCGTAGAAGTTCAGCTAAAACTAAAATGCATTAATGGAGAAGAAGAAGTTTTACAAAGAGAAAACCACTACTAGAAAACAGGCCATTTCCGACGGAAAAATTCCGTCGGCATCAACCTGAATTCCGTCGGAAAACCCGTTTCTGACGAAATTTCCGTCGCAACCAGTTGTCGGAAAAGCGACCTTTTCCGACAGAAATTCCGTCGGAAGCACTTTTTCGACGGAATTTCCGTCGGAAGAGGAATTCAGGTACTGGAAAGTTCCGTCGAAAGTTTCCGACAGAATTCCAATCCGTCGGAAGCTGATTTAATGAAATTAAAAAACAAAACACGCCGCGCCACCATCGGCACGGCGTATGACCACTACCAACCCCTAACTAACCCTAACCCCAACATCAAACCACCACTGCCACTACCCCCCACATCAAACCACCACTACTCCACCACCCGCTAACTAACCTTAACCCTAACCCTAAGCCCAGACCAGCCCAGACCACCCAGTGCCACCCACCACCACTGAACCATAAACCATTCCACCTAACCCAACCCTGAACGAACCCTAACCAAAACCCCACCAACACTACTAGAAAACAGTACCACCGTGAAACACCCATCACCACTAACCGTCAAAAACCAAAAAAAAAAAAAACTAAGTAATTCGAAAAAAAAATCCACAAAAATCACATAAAAAACCCACAAAAAAACCAAGCAAAAAACAACGAAATCAATCTATAAAAATTAAACAAAAAAAAAAACGAAATCAACAAAAATAAACTCTAGATCAACACCGTACAAAAAGAGGGCTTGTTCCAAATTCCAAATCTCACCGTACAAAAACCCAAAATTCCAAATCAACACCAAGAATTTCAAATCAAAACCCAGAAAAAGGGCTTGTTCTTTGATGTTTCAAGCAAAACCCGAAACAAAATAAGAGAGAGAAAAGAGAAATTACCTTGAATTCCATCAAAACCCCGAAATTATCTTGAATTTGGGTTTTAAAGGTCAAATTCGACCATGAAAACTCTATATCTAGGGTTTTCATGGTCGAATTTGACATGAAAAACCTTATTTTGTTCTTTGATGTTTCATGCGTGAATTGTTGCGAGGCGTGAAGAGAAATGAAGGAAGGAGAAGGCGGTGGTGGTGGTGTTGGTTGTGCAGCGGCGGTGAGAGAAGAACTGAGAAGGAGAAGAGAAATGAAGGAAGGAGAAGGAGAAGAGAAAGAAAGAGAGGGCGGAGGAGAGAGAAATGAAGGAAGGAGAAGGAGAAGAGAAAGAAAGAGAGGGCGGAGGAGAGAGAAATGAAGGAAGGAGAAGGAGAAGAGTGAGAAAGAGAGGGCGGAGGAGAGAGAAGGGGGAAGAGAAGAGGAGAAAGACAGAGAAAAGATCAGAGAGATGAGGAGGGTTGGTTTTTATTTTTATAAAATTATATTCCGACGGAATAAATTTCCGACAGAATATTCTTTCTGAATCCCATATATTCCGACGAAATAAAAATCCGTCGGAATATATGGGATTTCCGACTGAAATTCGTGTCCGTCGGAAACAGTCCGTTGAAAAAAGGCCTATTTCTAGTAGTGAACCAAGGAATAAAGTTTGCAAATGAATGAATAATGAAAATACAACTTGCATAGCTATTTAATACTAGCTAGCTTTTCTTAATTGCAGTAGCTGACGTGTAAGAAGTTGTTATAACAACTTTTATTAACCAGTGATGAGGTGTATACTCAACAATAGGTTAATTAACTAGATTATCCCCGTGTGATGCACGGTTATAATAAAAAAAAATATAGTATAGAATTTGTATATATAATGATTTTTTTCAATTTTGTCATAAATTCATTGGAAGGAGATTTCCTAAAAAAAATACAGTTTGGATATTTCAGGAAACTTCTAGACGTTTGAATATTAGTGTTAAGGAATTGAGGAGTGGGAATGATAGATCTTTAAATCAAAAGAAAGGAATATAGTTGCTATTCATCAATTTACTACACTTTGATTTTCTAGATTAAAGTTGTTGAAAGAATTTACTTAGCTTGTTTACAAAGTATCACACAAAAGAAAAAAGAAAAAAAATCCTTTCAAAAAAAAACTATCACCAAATAATGACAACATCAATGGTTTTAGGCGGGAAAAAATTTCATAAGAAAGCGACACATATATAGTTTTGAGGAAAGATGATGTCAACAATATTTTATTTTTGTAATAGTTAATAGACTAAAAAGATTAACTCCTTGTATTTTGCTCACGTGTAGTCCTTGGCTTCAATATTATGATAAGCTGCAAAATAAGAGAGACATAAGTAGACGGACTTTATCATCTACGATAAAATATTAAGTCGAAAATAAAACGCATAAATACCCAATTTATTAATTACTAGTATTACAATTAAAACAGTAGAATTAGTACACACTTGTATAAATTAAAGACTTAACAATCATAATTAGGGAGTATAAATATATAATATTTGACACTTATCAGCTACCACCACCAATGATGGTCACCCTATACCCTTGGTCAACATATTCGCTGACTACCACCACCAATGTCATTACTAGAACTCCCAACATCAATATTGATCATAGTACTATTATTTGTACTACCACCGCCTATGACGGCCACCCCATACCCCTGGTAAACATATCCGCCGTGACCACCACCAATACTAGCCACTCCTTACCCTTGCCCAATATATTCATCATGACCACCACCACCAATGCCCACTCCTTCACAAGGGTAGAAATAGGGATCCGCCATGATAGGTGGCGGGACTATCGCTGCACCGGGCCTAACAGCAATGGGCCTAAACAACCTCATTCGTAGAGCTTGGATATAGTCATCCTTACCCTCCGGTACCTATAAAGGTAAGTCGAGAGGGGCTCGGCGTAGTGGCCAAATTTTAGCATAGACATGGCTGCTACTAAGTCATTAGCTGAGATCACCTTACGTTGTTCCACCTTACGTATCTCGTTGGCCTCCTCCGATATGTAGTTGATGAACTTGGAGATGCACTCTTGAATTGTTTCTTTGGCCTCATCGGTTATTTTGGCATTTGAGGGGAGGATTTGTCGCATCACACGGATCATGTTCGCGATAGGCATGTATTCTTGTTCACGATGGTGTGGGGCTGCCGCCACCTTTGCCACTGATGATGGATGACGCGGGGGACGACCGACTCTCGTCCTAGGAGGAGGAGGAGGGTTGTTTGTAGTGGTGGTGTTACGTTACTTCCAATGGTGCTTGATGATGCTGAAAACATAAAATTAAAGAGATCATATAATTATAAAATTAAACATGCATAGATCCATATCCATGTATATACACTACAATTACGAGTAACAAGCGAGTACAGTTACTAATGAGATCTTGGTCTATTGGTAAATATTAAAATGTCGTATACAATTAATAAGTTACAGATTTGAATCCTCTATTTGAAATATGTAAATTTTTTTAAAGAAGTTATCCTGTTAATTTATATATAATAAAAAGTGTCAAAAAGGATCTTAATTAATTAAGTATTACGATGTATATGTCACATGCATCTCATTTCTTATTAATTAAGTTACTTCGGATTTATTCTGTTTGTTACATCCCCTCTTTTAATGTAACACAATATTTGGACTTGAGAGACATGCAATATGTTGCTTAATCTACGGACATTCAATGTTGGCCACAAAATGAAGCAAAGAAAGAAAATCTAGAGAAATAGAATTGAACGAGGTATTGTATATAATTGTTTTTAACACAAAAAAATTAAGTGCAATAATTTTTATGCTTAATTTCGAAATTATTTTTACATTAAGAAAATAATTTATACATTAAGAAGATTAAAAGATTCACGTAACTAAAATTTTATGTTTGATTTACCGAATTATGGAATTATGAATTGGGTGTCTTGATTAATTTAGGGTGAATTATTTTAAAATTTGTAGAGTAAAAGACTACTCCGTATCAAAAGAGACCAGTAACAAGTGTGCAACAGCTTTTTTCACAGGCAAAATCAAACATTTATGTGACATGACTGACATCAATTCTTTTATATTTTTTTGACGGGACATCAATTCTATTTTTCTAAAAGAATGAGATACTATGAAAAAAAAAATACGGAGTAATAATTACGAAAAAAAATTGTTGTACGTACATCCAGAATTCCAAATGAATCAAAACAAAAAAGGTAGTAATAATTTCAACCATATTTTTTAAAGTGAGCCACAGTAGGTGTGCTTGTCACAATCCAAGTGTTTAGATTTTGACATCGCGCACGTGCAGTAGAGCAGATGTATATGATTGGGTGCTTGTTATAAATCATGTAACATCATTTTGACATGTAAAAATTGTCAGTGATGATCAAATTCAAAGCAACGAAAATAAACAACAAAAAGCATGCATATATATATAATTAAATAATAACATTAATTTTTGTTACCAGTTGCAAGTTTTGAAACTTTAGACTTGTTTCTCATGCATGATGTGAGGTTACTCTTGCTCTTGTTGATTGAGTTTCCTTCTTCCATACTTTTTTTTTCTTCTCCATTGTTTTATCCTTTTTTTTTCTTTTTTTTTTGTGTGTGAATGAAATAATTGTAAGATGGGGAGGGGGGGGGTGGGGTGTTATTTATGGAGTATGTTTGTGTTAATGAAACGAAATTTGGCAGCTAGTACTATTTGGCCTTTTCTTAAAAGGGGGATTATTCTTGTGATCTATGGTCATTTTTTTTACATATGAACCTAAACAACAACATGCGCTAGTATAAAAAAAAATATGTCTTAAGAACGGGGGAAATTAAAAGGGTTGATAATACATCATGTGACTCATGTCTCATGTATTAACTATTAAACAGAAGAATTAAATAATATGTTTATTAAAAGGTTGTCATATTATTTTTTTCATTTAAAATAATACTACGTATACGTATAAAGTTAATACTCCGTATTATTATATACGGACGGATGGGAGTATCATTGAATCAACTGTTTAAGCTAATATATCTCGATTTGTAAAAGGAAAGAAAAAAAGAAAAAAAAAGCTAATATATTTCTAAAGTTTGGAAATTGGATTGTTTTTCTATAAATGCTATGGTTTCTTTCTGTTTATATATTAAAGTAATAAGAACTCTAACAATTAAATATTAAAAATCAAATTCATCTTTATTATTTTACTTATTATTAATTAAATTTTCTTAAGATTTTTTTATTTTCAAAAATCTCCTCGATTAATTTGACATGAAATAGGGTTAAGACAAACTAGGAAGTCAACCCAAAGAAAAAGTATTGTTTGTATGATTAATATGGATTAGTTAACTAGTGTATGTATAGATAAATACTAAACGTCTAAACAGTGATCCCATATGAGAATATATAGGGTTATTAAGGTTATATTTTCCATCTTATTTTACGAATTTTAAAATTACAGCTATTTCACCAAATACCACCGAACACTTTAATAATTCACCAAATGCCATTAAGGTTTTCAAAATTCACCAAATGCCACCGAGTGCCATTAATAACTAACGGTCGTTAACTCCATTAGGCATTAGGGTTTAATCATGACACATGTCATGATATGATTGGTTCAATTTTAAAAAAATCTTAAAAAAAAGAAAATTTATTAATTTTTTTTTTTTAAAAAAAAATCCAAACCCTAACCTAGCCCCACCACCACCACTGCCACTGCCGGCAGCCCAACCCCTGCCGTCGGTACTCCCTGCCTCACGTTCACCGTCGAAATCAACCCAACCACCACCCCTAAAACCAGCGACTTAACGCCTTCTGCTTTTTCCCCTCACGAAAAAACACCCAGCGTTTTCCGACCACCGCACAAAACCACCCCTCATATCCTCCACCCTTGAAATGACGAAATCGGCCATAGAAATCGACCATTCTGGATTTCCATGGTTGATTTCAGCCGTTTGGGGGTGAAGGGTTTCCATGGTCGGGTTTTATTCTGGGTTTCCTTGGTCGGTTTCGGTGACTACGGTGATGTGTCGTGTTGGTGCATCAGGTGGTTGTGTTGGTGCGTCAGGTGGTTGCGGGGGCTGGGGTGGGGATCAGGGCGGGAATCGTCGGGCAGGTGGAGTGTTGTGGGTCGTCGTCTGGGTGTTGGAGTCGGGCAGGCGGAGTTCTGGGCATTGCGTGAGATAGTTGCGGCGGTGGCTGGGGTGGTTTTTCGGGAGGAGGAAAAGGGGATGTGGAGTCGGTGATTTTGGTGGGGTCAAGGGGTTCCAGAGGGAGGTTGAGGGGTTTCGACGGGAGGTTAGGGGGTTCCGGCAGGAGGTCAAGGAGTTCTGGCGGTTGGCTTTGGGTTGTTGGTTGGTTTTGGCAGGTGGTTACGGTGGTGGGGTTGGGTTGGGTTAGGATTTAGAGTTTTTTTTTTTAATTTTTAATTTTATTTTTATTTATCTTTTTTTTAAAAAAACAAATAGCTGACTGACACGTGTCCACATGTGTCATGATTAAACCCTAATGACTAACGGAGTTAATAACCGTCATTCATTAATGGTACTCGATGAATTTTTTTAAAACTCAGTGGCATTTGGTGAATTTTGAAAACCTTGATGACATTTGGTGAATTATTAAAGTGCTTAGTGGCATTTGGTGAAATAGCCATCAAAAAGATAAATTATCAAATTCAATAATGTCATCAACTAATAAAGGTTATCAAGTTCAATAGAGGCATCAAATAATAAGGCTTACTAAGTTTGAGTGTAACAAACTAGATGGAATCCCGTGCAATGCATGATTTTTTCATCTAAGATTTTAATTATTTGATTTATTGTATTTAATAATTTCAGACAAAATTACAAAAGTTTAATATATTTTTTTTACTATAATTTATAATGAATTTATTAAATATAAATAAATTGTAAATATGATATTTTTTCCGTTATATAAAATCTTTAATGTGAAATGATAAATTTTTAATAATTTAAATCCTAAATCATTATTCATTGTTTTACCATATCTTTTATTTCGATAGAATCACCAACCTCGTCCACAACCAACCTACTACATCAATGGATAAATTGAACCGTGATATGTTAGCCAAACTGAAATTGATATAAATTAAATCTTACATTTATATAAAATAAATCAATATATTTACCAATAAATGAAAAATTGTTGCGATATAAAATCAAATCTATGCATTGGAATTTTTCCATCATCTCCAAAGCCATCCATATATTAAGTATACAACATCTAATCGTATGCCATTACATAAACAAATAATCGTTAAGTATCCTAAATAAATACAATGTAACTAATAATTACAAATATAAATTTAAACATAAGATTTTAAAAATTACCCGGACATTGATGACCTAAAACTAACACAAAATTCGCTTGGTGGGGTTTTGTATTGATACGAAATTTTATTTGTGTCGTATGATGTGTTAGATCTGCATGTAAAAAAAACATTTAGTAAATAAAACATAAACATATAATCGTTGAGTATCCCAAATTAATACAATGTAAGTAATAATTAGAAATATTAATTTAAACATAGGATTTTAAAAATTAAGCTAAAAATTACCCGGCCATGATGACCAAAAATTAAAACAAAATTACTAACACAAAATTCGCTTGATGGGGTTTCTTATTGATACAAAATTTTGTTTGTGTCGTATGATGTGTTAGATTTGCATGTAAAAAAACATTTAGTAAATAAAACATAAACATATAATCGTTGAGTATCCCAAATAATACAATTCAAGTAATAATTAGAAATACTAATTTAAACATAGGATTTTAAAAATTAAGCTAAAAATTACCTGGCCATTGATGATAGAAAATTAAGACAAAATTACTAACACAAAATTCGCTTGGTGGGTTTTTTTTATTGATACGAAATTTTGTTTGTGTCGTATGATGTGTCAATTTATAGTGGCAGGTATCACAAATTTTAATTTAACTATAATTAATGAACAATTTGTATTTCTTATCATAAATACTATCAAAATTTATCTTATAATGATAGGTATCAAACTTTATTATAAGCGTTTATCATTTAAATATTTTCTAGTATATTTTTTTTGAATTAATAAATTTATCTTTTCCTATATTTTTACTTTATTTTTTTCATTAAAAT